GCCAGAGGATAATTATAGCAGTAAAGATAGTTACTCGATGTCAATCCCCCCTTGGAATATCCAAATTCTGTCCGAGGACTTGAGACGAAGACCTTTCGAATTTCCCTCAATCTTGTAATCAACATAGGCATCATAAGTCCAACGTTTAGAGAGGTCATTCGTAGCGATGGCAAGATGATACGAGATGCTCGAATTGACAGATTTGGTCTTAACAGTCACCCTGGGCTCTGTGACCAGGTAGTGATAAGTTCCACCAGTCGTGTTCACGAAAGCGATGCCACGGTCAACAGCATGCCCTTCAACCTTTTTTTTCTTCCAAGGAACTTTTACACGTGTGCGTAGTTGTGTAGGGAAAGTGATCTTTTTACCGCCAACACCATCCTCACCACCGGTGTCTTGGTATTTTGGAATCGAAAAATGAGTTTCAATCTTGATTCCCAAGGGCAAATCGAAGAGCATGGAAGAGTTGCCCTCTACCTGAACACCGACATCAACAGGGGTTTTATCCCTCAGGTGGACTGCGAGCTGCAATTGAGCAAAACTATCAGTGGACGAAAAGTTGGAACCAATAGAAGCACTGCCAGTGATTTGATTAGTGTCGTTGATGATGAACCAACAGTACTTCCCGTTGAGCGGATCTCCAGGGCTCGAACACTGCGAAGGATACTTTCCGATAAGATGAGGACCAGACGGAGAGTCGGTGTGAGTCTGGTCTGAGGACGGGGCAGCACAAGTGCCCTCATTGGAGGCATCGGAGAGAGCCGAATTGACGATTAGGAGAAGGTGGAGGAGAATGAACATGGAAAAACTTGATTATACGTGAAACCAGAATATTTGAAGCCGCATTGAGATGGGTAAATTCTGTGAATCCTCGTTAGTTGCTGGACACTTATGCTGCCGCGGGGACGCATGAGAGTATGCACGCATGAACAAACGTGCACGATAGCGCATGAACAGCCCCTGATAGGGATAAGACGCGGAGCCTTTTGTACTCTCATGAGGAACTATTCTGAATCTTCAACACCTTCGTATAAAGCTCCTCACAGAGAGCTCCATATAAACCATTTCACTTGACACTTGGGGATATATAGATGATGTTGAATTGTGTTGGAGACTTCCATCCTGAAGCCGTCGCGATTCAATGCAAATTTTGTGCTTTTTGTTGAATAAAGTTGATATAATCTGTTGCTTTTTGTGCGTAGATTTTGTTGAATAAAGTGAGGGGGAAATCGCTGTAATTATTACTGCTGAAGGAAATCTAATTGAGAGTGGGCCCTGGTCAGTCTCTGTGACACCCTTTTTGTACATGCGTGCAAACATTCTCCTAGTGCTTGTGAACTGGAGTGTGAACATTAGACTTTTAGCCCTGTTAGCTTCCAAGACCATAGCCATATCTTGGCTCCGGAGTCGCATCTCTCGTGTTGTTGATGCAAGGAATTGACATGGCCTCGTCTGGTCGTTTTTTTGGCCAACAAAAGTTGTCACGGCGCTTAACTTTAAACTGAGACTGCGGTGTCACTTGGCTCGAGGTCTAGTCTTCCCAGTGCTAACTCAAGAGTGTCGTTATCTACAGAGTTGGTCATTAGGAGATGATAGTGATACTAATAACAATAGAGCTACTATCAACGTCACAAACCGATAATCCCGCGACGGGGACACGTATACTGAGCATTGGGCGCTCGACCTAAGCGTGCTAGTGTAGCGATCGATGTCATGTTTGTGCAATGGAGGGATCGTTCCGATGCAGTAAACCCAAACCGCAATACACACATAATTAATTTTTCTGAAAAGCTACTTATCCATCACTGTTCGTACCAAGCAGTGTGGGAGAGTATGAACATGGTCAACTACATATATTATGAGATTGGTGATGAAATTTAATTGGGAAATTGTTATTGGTTTTTGTACACTTCAACCCGAAATCGTGTATAAACCCCTATAATAAGTGAGGAAACTCTTGAGTTCAGCTGAGGAAACCAGGCATATATTCTCACGCGGTACCAACACACATTGTCGATGATAATATGAAAACCCCGGGAAAATTTTGGGTAGTCCTTCTCAATAGAAGTGTACAAAAACCAACAATAATTTCCTGAAATTTTCTCAGAGTTTTCATATTGTGACCAACACACGTCGTTGACCGTGTGCATGTTCCCCCCCCCCCACACCGCTCCACACG